TTTAACTAAAGCTACTGGGTTTTGCCAACCCGTACCCGCCTTTCTAGCTCCACCCCTGGCATTTACACTTTCAGATTTAGATAATCCTTCCATATTTCGCTTTCTATGGGTTCATATTTGGTCACTCACTGATCCTTTTATTTTCCCTCAGCCTTCTTGTATTGTCAATGGTTTACCTGAGCCTTTAGGTTTTAGAGAATCTGTGATTTGTCTTTAAGGTAAATTATGTAGCATTAGAATGAAATTGAGTTCAATAGAGTGGAACGGATATAGGTGATTCATGCAGCTGATTCTAACTTATTCTGGACTGAGGTGTAGTTGATTTTGTTGATTGAATGAATGGTTCTCAAAACAACTGTTTTATTCTCTTGGGTTTGCTGGAAAATTTATACTAATGATGTTCCAAAATATCGTGGTGTCTAAAAAGGTTATCTACAGAGCAGAATCCATTGTGTCAGGGTTTGATTTCCTCCAACTTCAAACCAATTTGGTGTCTGCATGTAACAAATACACCATCTGATTTTGTGATTTATGAATTGTTTTACCCATTGTTCACCTGCTATCTCAGCTTCTTTTGCTTATGCTGATGAGTGAAAACATTTAGATGTACTCATTGTAAAGAACAATTGATGTCTTGTCAAATCTGGTTTTGTATATTTTAATCCATGGCGTGCTGGTTGTGTTTAAGTCCGTCTGTAATGTGTTAGTGAGCTGGAGTAGACCTAGGTAACCTATCAACAACAGCCTTTCATGCTAGCTGAAGTCTTTTCTCCATTTTGTCTATAGTATTAGATTATACTAAGATATGTTGTGGCTGATGTTATATGGATTTTTCATCTACTTTATCAGAAAGCAGTCGAACACTAAGGTATTTTGATCATAATGCAGTGCATTCATTCCATTAAATCATAACATAATTTTATTTCACTTAGGTTAATACACATTGATGTAAATCCCCTCCTTTATTAACAGAAGTTCTTACCAATCAGAAAAGAAAAAAACACATAAGTTCTCATCTAAAGTTTATCATTTGAAAAAAAAGATTGACCAGTTTTTATTTGTTTGGTCTCAATAAAGTAATGTACTTTCAGTAAATAACAAATATTTTGATCGATACAAGAGTTGGACTACTTTTATGAGTTTTATCTGCCATTGAAAGTTGGAGCTTTCACCTTCATATGCTTGAAGCAAGCAATACTAATGCAGGGTATTGAATCATAAATTTGGGTTGCTAGTACTACAAGTTTACAACAACAACAACAAAAAATCCAGTTTGATACCATAAATGGGGTCTGGGGAGGGTAGTGTGTACGCAGACCTTACCCCTACCTCATAGAGATAGAGAGGTTGTTTCCGATAGACCTTCGGCTCAAGGAACAATGAAGATATAGAAACCAAGTAGCAAAGAATATTAGCAACAATGTAACATGATAACGGGTGTGAATGCCACAACATGCATAATAAAGAACCATAAATAGGAAATTACAAAAATAGTCTAGCACTACTGGTCGGCCTAGGAGGAACACACTACTATTTGTCAACCTACAACCCTAATCCTCGACCTCCACACCTTCCTATCGTTATAGTGGGTCATATCCTCGGTAAGCTGAAGCAATAACATGTCCTGCCTGATTACCTCTCCCCAATACTTCTTAGGCCTACCCCTTCCCTTCCTCAGACCCGCCATGGACAACGTCTCACACCTCCTGACCGAGGCATCTATGTCTCTCCTCTTCACATGCCCGAACCATCTCAGCCTCGATTCCCGCAACTTGTCTTCCACAGATGCCGCTCCTACCTTGTCCCTAATAACTTCATTCCTAGTTCTGTCTTTCCTAGTATGCCCACACATCCATCTCAATATCCTCATTTCATCTACGCTAGTACTACAAGTTTCTAATAACCAAATCGGCAGTTAATTCATTTGAAACCATGACTTGCACTTCTACTGTACCATGTTGGTGTAATAGAGATTAATTAATGTCTTTATGTTTGACTTGGGCTAAATATGCCTAATTTAGTAGTACATCAATGAGCTCTAGTTTATGGTAATGAAGCCACACTCAACTTTTCATGATATGTTCTTGTCATTGTCCCAGAATTATACCTTGAATGCTTGGCTTCTTGTACTTACTTTATCAAAAGAAAAGGATCAAAAAAGGAAAAAGCTTGGCTTCTTATTGATTTTGTGACATTACCATTCTTTTCTGAAGGTGGTATGTATATTCTTAAATATCTTTAAGCATCTTATCGCAGTTCATGCATGTGCTTTATAATTTTTTTTGTGTTTTACAGAGGATGGAAAGACTGGCACTTTTGTCATAGGAGATGAGCACTTTCCTGCATCACTGTTGAATCTTCCTTGCATAGTGGAGTCATATAAAACTTATGATGACAGCGTGCTCATTAAAACAGCAGACGTTGGTCAAGTAGGGTTGTGGTTAATTTTTCCTTTTTCCTTTTTCCTTCAGTTCTATGGATATGGTTTCGATATTCATCGCTTTCCTAAAATGTAAATTTTGTTGGTTTGGCAGATGATTATGGTGAGAGAAGAAGGTGATCCTGCTCCAGATGTGGTGGAATATAGACATGGCCTCACACCTCCAATGAGAGATGCTCGAAGGCGAAGATTTCGGAGAGAACCAGATCTTAATGTAACATGTCCTACTTTTCTGAAAAGACCTCTCGTTTAATTACTTTCTAATCTGTCCTGACAGAGAGAATGCCAGGGGTGGGTTGCCTCTACTGTGTGTGGAATGGGGTTAATTTTTTGAGGAGGGTTGGGGGAAATCTGTTAGTTATATAGTGGAGCTCTCCCTGTCCCTTGGCCCACCCTCCCTTATCTAGTTTAATACCTCACCCTTTTCTTGTTGAGTTCTTGAACTCACAATGTACCTGTTATATGTTTTGCAGCCTGAGCTTGTTCGGCGCGTTGAGAGAGACTTGCAGAACATAATGGCTGGTGGAACAGCTGAGAATATTGATATCCTCTCATTTTTTGTTTTCTCTACTAGTTTTAAAAAAGAACACCACTTAGTCACTATACAAGAACGAAAATAGCCAAATAGACTTATTTAAGGTCATAATGGGCTATATCCAGACAGTATTCATGTGGTAACATTAGTAGAATAGCATTAGAACCATGAGTTCTGAAGAATTCTAGCTATCCTGTTGGTAAATTGACATTTATCAGCTTGTAGACCACCGTAGTTGAACAACTTCTGCCAGTGAAAAACTTGTAAATTTCTATCTGTCAATTTACCAGGAAGAGATTTGGGGTAATGTCAGGGAAAATTTAGTGCTTTGAGCTTTCAGAAAATTTTCTGTGGTTCTAGGTGCATATGCCGTTGTACACAAGGACAAGTTTATGTGCTGCAAGTATATGTCAGAAGTTCATTATCATTACAGAAGACTTGCTAAGCTTCATTCTGTTACTCCCTTAACTAGCTGATTACATATAGAAGTTGCTGAGCAAGAGGAAGGAGGTGAAGCAAGTGCACGCCATGTGAATAAGAAAGTGGCGCAACCTGCAACGAAGCCTGACATTACTGAGCCTGGGACTGCAGGTGAGGATCCTGACAGAACTGAATCTGAGGATTCTGATGATTCAATATAGCCGAGGACATTTTTCAGCAAGCAAAGGTTATATAGCTACAAAAGCTGTTGGTTGGCAAGTTGCAACCAAGTCTCTGCCATTAGCATAGTCTACTTCATGGTTAATAGCCCTTGGAACTTGATAGAAATTTTAGCTCGTGTATTTACAGTTTGCTTATCGATTCTAGGCTTGGACATCGCCGGCAATATAACAATTTGCAATATCTACTTGAGAGACCTTAGACGCTTGCAAATTACATTTTGTACAATGATGGTCTGTCTCCTGTTAAATATATTGAATTTGCTTAGTTTGTTCTAAGAAGATATTTATTGCAAAAGTGATTAGCTTTGACATCCTGAGAGGCTGGAGTCAGGAAAACCTTGATCTGAACTAGAATAGACATTATTGAGTAGCTATTTATGTTTGGTGTTTGATGAGATAGTGGATGGAAGTATAGAAACGTAATCAAAAGGATAAAATGGCATGGCGCGACCAATAGAACTTTAGGTTACCTTCTTGTGAGGATGTCTGAGGTAGAACCGTAGACCTGTAACAATGAGTGTTTAATTATAACCTATATCTATATATTTTGAGTTGTATATCTTCACCCGAATGCAGTAGGTGAAAGTGAAACTGTCTATGCCTATAGTTATGATGCCTAATTTGTGTTTGATTTGATGTGGTGGTGACAGTGTTGTAAATTTTTCATCAGTGGAAATACTTGTATGGTCGTAAGTCCTATACGAATGATAATGGTCTAAGTTTAAATTGGCATGAAAAATTTCTAACCCAGCTCCTTAATTTTTCTTGTTACTATTCCATTGCTGTTATCTGACCTTTTCCTGTCCATGCTTACTGAAAAAGCTTTTAATATTTTAATTTTAGTAGCTCACTTTGCTCAATCGGCACGAATAGTAAAATGTTAATCCTGGACTCTTCTCATCCTCTTACTAGTTTTTTTTCTCCAAAAATAGTGAGCGCACTATTACCATAGTTTTTGGGTATAACTATTGTTTACCTCGAAAATACTAGCAACAATTAAACTTGATTTGTGATTTTAAAGGTATGTGATTTAATTCAATACCAATTAATAATCAAGAAATATGAAGTAGAAATGAATGAGGCAAGTGAATCAAACCAGTGTTACTCAACAGTAGTGACCTCGAGGTGGGCTTAGAACAGTAAGAACAAGTAAGTAAGAAAAATAAAGTAAGAATTGTAGAGCTAAGGACAATTCTGATGAGCAGTAGGCCAAAAAGTAAATAGTATATTCTTTTCTCAATGATTAAATGATGTTACAAATGATTGGGGTCCCCTTTATATAATAGGGCAACCCTAAATAAGGAATATTTCTATTTACAGTAAGGAATATTCTTGGTACAACTGTCTAACCGCGTAGTACGGAATCGTACAACCCTATTTCAAGATTTGCGCCATGACTTTGGGGACGTGGCAGGAATCTAGCTCATTCCGGTACAAATCCATAACGGTACATTTCGGGGTCGAGCATACTTGGCCCGGTTTTCCTCGAACTCCTATCTTTCGGGCACTGCACTCTGTCTTCGAGATCAAGTTTGGTCAGCCGGTTTCGAACTCGACCTCACCCGGACTCGGGCCTAGGACGGACCCTCGAACCTACAAATCTGAGGCATACGATTTTGACCGTATACAGTCTGGTCCCCGGGATTCTTAGAATAAGATGATAAGAAACGATTTGATCCTCGTTTTCCCGAAGTCTTTAGTGATGATGTCATTTCCGTGACGCAGGCGTTCGAAGTGACTGAAACATCCCGTCGTTTCACTTCCCCAAAATATTGAATGCATGCCAGTATTGGTCGGCCATTAGCGCAGTTGAACCGTCGTTGTCCTTCTATAAATATAAGGTTATTCCTTTGAGTAAAGAACTTTACTCTTTCATTACATCTTTCCATTCTTCATCTCTTTCTCTAATCACCTGTTTTCATCGCCTCTTTAAGTGCCGAAAAATGCCAAGTTCTCGTAAAAACACCACGTCCTGCCACCGTCCGTACCCTTTAGCTTAGAATCATGGCTAAAACTTCCAAATCAGTTCCCAAAAAAAATAAAGCGTCATCTTCTTCTTCATCCTGGCCGGCCAAACCGGTGGTGCCACCGACTCTTGAAGAAATCACCTCCAGCCCTTGCGTGATTAAGAAAGACTTTAATGTTGAAAATTCCCATGATGTCCCATGCTGATGCCGACACGCATCTCGATACATCAATTTGATATCGGAGAAGTACCTCAAAGATATGAAGAGGGACTGTGGCTGGGAGAACGAGGTCGTGGTTCAGATCCTCGGCCCCGAGGAGAGTATCAGTACCCACGTGGAGGGTTTTTTTAAGTGTTTACACTTACCCCTTCACACTAGGTATCCTCGATCCGGTAGTGATCGACTTCTGTAAACATACGAGGTCACCCTCGGTCAGATCCATCCCTCCTTCTGGCACATCGTGATCATGCTGCACTACTTTTTCGGGAAGGTCGAGGGGTTGGAGTTCTCCCTCAACCATCTTATTCGGCTATATCAGCCCCAGCTATTCCGAGGGCTCATCAAGCTGCAATATCGGACAAAGAAAGCCTTTTTTGCTAGCAATGACGAAGACAAAGATCGAGGCTGGATGAGCCGTTTCATCAGAGTAAGGACTCCGGATGTCATCCCCCGGGATAAGATGCCGTTCCTGGAGAGATGGAATTTTAATCGTAAGTGGAGTCCTTCTTCCGATATCCATATATACTTTGCTTCTGCATCTCATAATATTGTTATCTTTTCTACAGCTGTTGCTTGGATATCTCACATTGTCCCCGACCTCAAAGACTGGGTTCGAAAATTGGCCGCGACCTCCTCGTATGATGAACGCAAATGGCGTGATTTATCGAGGGGCAAATGGGAGGCTAAGCATCATGGTAAGTGCTTTCTCTATGTTTCGGATATCTTTTATTTGATGGCATCAACTCATCAATATTTACTTGTGTAGGCCTCGGAGATGCCTCCGAAATGAGGCCACCCCCACCCAGAGAAGAGTCTGAGTCCCCAATTCCGAAGTTGGGGAAAGACAATAAAAGAAAGAGGGTTTCGAAGCCTGAAGGCCCTCAATACAAGAAAGCCCCTGCTCGAAGGCTGAGGAAGAGATTTGCTCAAGCGGGCGCAGATTCGGCCCATGATTCCCCCGATAACGAAGAAAATAATGGTGAAGAGTCGGTGTTGGCGCTTCGAACCAGGAAACCAATCGAGGCCGCCAAGCCCTCCGAACTAGAGACCTCATCCCGTGGTGAGGGAACCCCAAAGAAAGATGCGGGCAAGGCCCCCGTGTCCCCAGAGGTTGAGATCATTAATCCGCCTTCAACAAATATACCGGAAGGGGCAAATGCATAGACCCCCGAAGCTAATGAGAATGCCCCGAGTGAAGAGCTTGGGGCCATGGCAACAGGTCACTCCCTTTCTTTGCCAACTTATTCCGAGGAGGCAATCGAAGAAGCTAACGCTTTGCGCATGCCCGATATGAGCAAGTTCCTCGAAGAAGATCCCTTTCAGAGTTGCTTTACTAGGGTCGAGGATACTACTAACCTCAATGATGCATCCACCATTTTCGAAGAGGCTCAACGTCTCCTCTCTCGGGTAAATACTAACTTTCATTGTTGTAATTTTTCCTTTCCTCCTTTTCCTTTGACTAATATATCTTCATTTCATGTATAAGTCATCGTCAAGTTTAGAGCTGAGCTGAGCCAATGCGAGGCCGAGCTTAGGAAAGTTTCGGGCGAAGAGAAAGCCCTGAGGCTCCTCTGTAGCAAAAAAGAAGAGGAGCTTAAGAACCTCCGGGCTGAATTGGCCAAAGCTCGGAAAAATGAGTCTGGGATAGATGAGCAGGTAACTGTGATTTTAATAGAGTATGGCCTTCTTGGCCTTACTTCGGAGGCTAATACTTCGATGTCTCAGCTGCAATAGAAGTTGGAGATGATCGGGCAGCTTCGAGGCGATGTTGATCAAGTTAAAGCTGATTGCCATCGATGGAAGGAAAGCATGGATTAGCTTATTGCCGATAAGGAAGTTGTTATAGCCCAACTGACCTCGGCAGAAACTCAACTCCGGGGCCTCAAAGCGAAAGGTCTGGCCCAGGCTAAGAAGATTGCCTAGTTAGAGGCAGAGCTCGCTAGAGCTCAGGCCGAAGCTGGACAGGCCAACGATGAAGCTGAGAAGACGAAGGCTGCGGTGATAAATCCATCGTCGTATACTTAAGAGATGTTACGGCCGTTCAAGCTGAGCTGAGGGAGGCCTCTGACAGGGAGAAACAGAGCAACGATTCGGCCAAGTGCCAGGCCCGGAGGGAGACTCTAAAAGAAATCCATGCCCGAGGGTTTAACCTTGCTGAAGAGATAGCCGAAGCAAAGGCGCGGGAAATCGATGCCAGGTTTATCGTCTCTTCCGATGACGAGGACGTTGCGAGTGGCTCCGGTGACGAGTATAACAAAGGAGATGTTCCCGAGGGAGAGGAGGCTTCCGAAGATAAAGCTGCCGAAGGTGCAGTTCCGGGGGACGTGAGCCCGAAAATAGATTAGGTTTTCTTTTTCTTTTTTGTACAAGGGCCCCTCGTGGGCGTTGTGAGCACGCTTATTTTTGCCCTATATGAATTACTCCCATAAATTCAAGAAAATAAATTTCTTTTCATTTGCAATTTTATGGATTTTTATGGCATTTTCTGCTAATTGTTTGCATTTTGTCTGTGCATTTTAATTAATGAAAAAATACAAAATATATAAGTGCATTTGCATTTAGGATTTAATTTAACATGTTAGGATTAATTAAGTAATTAAGTTATTTTATTAAAAAAGGGAAAATCACAAAAAAAATAGTTGAATTTGCACTTTTAATCTTAACTTTTATTTTGAGTAGTTTTCCTTTTAATTTATTTTTAATTAATTGTGTTGATTATCATTTAGGTTTAATTAGTGTTTTCGTTTAAGTTAATTAGGTTCTAGGGATTAATTTAGGAATTAATTTAATTATGAAAAAAAAGAGAAATAAAACAAAAGGAATTTAAAAAATGAAAGAAAGAAAAGAGAAAAGAAAAAGGAATTAATAAAATTAATAGGAATGGAGGAATTGGACTTAGAGACTCGGAATTGGGCCAGTCCAATGCCAAGACCCAAATATTTCCCACCCATTTGCCCAAGTCCAGTCCCCAAACCCGGTCCGCCCCCACCAGCAAACTAAACGACGCCGTCTTAAGCCTTCCTATCCCGACCGTTGGATAAACAAGATCCATCGAACCAGAACTAACCCCTCCCCCATATATAACTATCCGAA